CAGTGCAACGCACGGATGACGTCATACACACCCCACTTTGTTTTTAAAAGATATAAATATAAAAAATCTAACGGTGGATGTCTGGGGGACAGTGATTGGCCTCCATGTTCTGAATGCTGGCGTACCATAAAGAATAAATGATGAACAGTTTAGTTTGTGCCTTCAAGTCGTTGCCCATAGGAAGATGTTACTGGATATAACCTAACGGAATATCTTCAGAACGGCTCCAGATGACACTAAACTCATATGGGAGAGTAGAACATGATGGAATAATGGAAAATCAAGGGGCCAATGGAAAAAAAACACCATTCCCCTTAAACAGATAAACTCCATCAGTCAAATGCAGCTCTAACAGGTTTTAACTCTAACTTCAAAGATTTTTCCAGTCTGCTGGGAGTTTGTTCCAGATCCATGGAGCATAGATGCTGCTTCTCCATCTTTGGTTCTAGTTGTGGATGAACAGAGGAGGCTGGAACTAGAAGACCTGAGTGGTCTGGGAGGTAGATCCACTGACAACAGATCTGTTATGGATTTAGGTGCTGATCTATTCAGTGATTTCTAGAATAACAGAAGGATTTTAGAGTCTATTCTCTGAGCTACAGGGAGCCAGAGGAAGGATTTCAGGACCGGGCTGATGTGATCTACTTTCTACAGTTCTAGTGAGGATGCAGGCAGCAGCATCTGGTTCTGATGGACTTTTTAGGCAAACCTATGCAGACACTGTTGCAGTGATTAATTCTACCAAAGATAGTTGCATGAATGAGTTTTTCTAGATCCTGCTGGATATTAGTCCTTTATTCCTGGAAATGTTCTTCAGGTGATCAAAGGCTGACTTAATAACTTCCTTTCTGAGCCTCTGAAGGTTCAGGTCTGAGTCCATCATGATTTAAGCCATAATCAGTGGTTTCAGTCAGGAATAATCAACGGATCATTATTTATATTTAAAACTAAAAGGTTCGCTGGGATTTAATGAATTTAGAGTTAATCAGTAAAAAAATAAAAACAATTATCTTCATCTCGATCACTGAGTCTGGGAGCGGCCATTTTTGCCCAAATATAGTAACTCCTCCTTCCTTAATAGGGATCAGTTCAATGCAGCAATTAAACTGATCCCTTTCTGCTATCATCGCAACCCCAACCCATTACAGGGGAACAGAGCACCTCCCCTATTCAGCCAGGCCAACAATTCCCTCTAACGCAGAGATGGCAAAAGTACTCACTTTCCGTACTTGAGTAAAAGTACAGATACTTGTGTTAAAAAATA